CTGGTACACTGCCTGTGCTTCAGCACCAGGGTGAGGGCCAGGCACAGAGATGCTCTGGCTGCTACCAGAGCATCTCTGTGGAGGACCCAGCCTCCAGTTGCCTCAGGTTTTTTTCTCTGAGGTTTTTTTTTGGCAAATTTTTTTACAAATTTGCAGCACAGGGAAAGTTTTCTCATTCTTGCGTGTACCTCTTGCAGCATCTCAAAGGGCTTTGAGACGCTGCAGAACGCACGTGCATGCTTGTTTGGACATGCCCATACAGGTCTCCAAGCTCCTTGGCTCTGTCTCATGTTCTTAGCCTCCCAGCACCCCTGACCCAGGGCAAGGCTGCTCTTGGTCCCACTCAGCCTCTCCTGGTGCCTCTGACCCAGGACAAAGCTGCTCATAGTCTCTCAGTGGTTTGGCACTAGCTCTCATGCAGCTTCCTGGGTTTTAGACCCTGTAAAGACTCTATTTGAGGCTTAGCCTCTCCTGCTGCAGGGTGCTTTTTAGGCACCCCCACTTGTAGCCTCCACACCACCCCTATCAGCTGTTCCTCATTTTCTGGTGTTACTCTGTGCCAGCTGCAACACCCTGTTATATTCCCTTTGGAGTTCTTCAGGGTTTCAGCCACTCCTACCCTGTAGCTGCTACCTCTTACAGCTTCCCCAGGTGCCAGTGCTGCCTACGCTCCCCTCTGTTGCTATCCAGGCCAGCAGGAGTTGTCAGGGCCAGACTGCCCTATCGCCCAGGATCCAGGCTTTATGTAGGCTGGGGCTCCACTTTTTTTAAGGTCATATGGCTCAGCTCTCAGCCTGCTCTCAGATGTTGTAGCTTAAGCCCAGAGCTGAAGCCACTGCCTTCTCCCCTGCTGCTCTTTAAGTCCTTGTGGATTTCTTTGGCTGCATGTAGCTCTGCAGCTGGCCCCTGCCCTGCTGCCTGGAGCTCAGTAAACAGACCTAGATGTCAGCATAGGCAAGTCTGGAGTTCTCACTGTTGCAGCCATGTCAATAGCATCTATCAGCACTCCACCAGGCCTCCCCTTCCACCTCCAATTCATACCAAAAAGAAATACATATATCCACCTCCTTCTTTACATCAAACCACAACAATGACTTGATACGCTTTTATAGCTATAGCTTAGCACAGCTGAGAGCTACACAGTCTATGCAGTGGTTAAGACATTCTACCTCAGCCTTAATTGTGTAGAGGTCACAGTGGTCACAGCTGAGATCTATCAATAGAGTATGAGTTAGATGGAGCTGAAGTACACATTACTTTATGGTATCTGTTGGAGATGGAAGCCCAGGCCTCCAGTTTTACTGGCAGTGCATCAATACAGGAATGCTATTCCTAAATCATCCCTATCCAGTGTTTATCCAGCCTCCTCTAGAACACCTCCAGTGAAGGAGATTTCACAACTTCCCTGTACAGCCCCACTGTTCTAACACCCTAGTTCTGTGGTTCTAACAGTAAAGAAAATTTTCTTGACATTTAATTTAAATTGCCTTTGCTGCAATTTAAAGCCATTGCTTCATGCCCTGCCTCCTTGACACAAAGAAGAACAGTTGTTCTCCCTCTCCTTATGACACACTTTCAGATATTTAAAGACCACTACCCATGGCTCCTCAGAGAAAGAGAACTATGAAACTATGAAAGAGAAAGAGAAAGAATGATCAGGAATGAACTAACTGTGTAAAGACTCAAAACTAAATGCCTGCAAATTGGCTGCTAATGCAGGGAATAGAAGGTGATGTAAGTTCCAGACTAATGCAGATACTAACCCACAAGAGGTGATATTATTCAGGCTAATATATTAATTACCACTAAAGATCCCAGCTCAAGGCACTGAGCTGCCACTGCTTGCCTCACTTTTCTCATTGTTAGCATGCTCTAACAAATAAGTGGGCAAAATACAGCCTGCAGGCCAGATCTGGCCTGCCAAGGGATTCTGTCAGACCCACGGATGGTCCCTTGGCCCCATCCAGCCGAGGTGTGGGTGGCAGCCTGAGCCATGGTGCATGCACCTGGTCCTGCCACCCCTGGGTGCACAGTGGGGCTCTGAAGTGGCCATGTCTGCTCACCTGGCTGTGATGTATCAGTCTGCCCTCGCTTTGCCCGCACACAGTACTCCCACCGTACTCTGGCATCCTGCACATACTGCTCCAGGTCGCAGAAGAGTGCGCAGAAGGACATGTGACTGGCCTGGTAGATGGTGTAGTATAGCAGTGCCGCGCGCCACAGGAAGGGCTGCTTACGGAAGAGGACACTGTGCAGACTAGCCAGGCCTTCCTCTGTGGGGTTAGCAGGTTTCAGGCCATACTGTTTGCGGCCCTCTGAGCTATGCCAGGGCTGGTGGGCATTATTCACTCCGCGGATGTAATGGGTACCTGGAGAAGATGAGACAGAACATATTCAGGCACTACCCAGACTCATACAGATCATCCAAAGTGCCAAAGAAAAACAGAGGGATCATTGTTCTCCTCAGTGATACAAGCCAAGACAAACTCCCCCGCTCCATAGCTTTTCCTTCAATAAATAAAGGTCAAACAAAACCCCTGGCATTCAGTCTCCTTCTCCAGAGGTAATTAACACAGCAAGTATTAGCTAAGCTCTATGGCAGCTGTCCTTAACCTCCCATTGCTACCCTCCAGATGTGCTACCAATATATTAACACTTCCTCTGTTACCCTGCCATAATCCTTTGACATCCCACCCTATCACTTCCCTATCCTACTCAAACTGTTCTCCAATATCCTTATGTTTCACTGTCCCACCTTAAGAACATCATACCACTGCATGGCCACTATCCTACCACCATGGAAAGATGCCTTACAGTGAGACACACAAAGAGTTCAATCTGTTTAGATTATCAAAAGGAAGACTGTGAGGTGACTTGAATGCACCTTGTAGGTACCTTTGTAGGGAGCCAACTCAGGGTATCGAAGGGTTTTTTTATAACTTGGCAGAGAAAGGCACAGGGCAACTGAGGGCTGGAAGTTGAAGCCAGGCAAATTGGAATGCAAAATGTTTTGGTTGGAGGGAGGATGATTTACCACTAAAAATGGCCAAGGAAAGCAGGGGTTTTCCATCTGTTGTACTAAGACCAGGTGTCTTTGTGGAAGATGTATTTAGTCAAATAAGTGAAGGTTACTGGTCTCAATCCTGAAGTGACTGGTTGAAATTCTGTGGCCTGTGTTGTATAGGCTGTCACACTAGATAGTCTATTGATTCCATCTGGCCTTAAACCCTAACAAAAAATTTCACTAGCTTGTACTATGCTAGTCTAACATTAGGGGTAGCATAGGCAGCAATACTTTACATTAAAATTGCCCAACACTTCCCATTATATGATCTGGTTTTCTGTTCCTATTAACTTGGCCAAACTCATACTCATTCAACCAAAAATTGTCTATGCTGGGCATTAGCCACAAAGCTGGATTATTTGAAAAGCTTCAGCAAAAATGATGTGACTACTTTCAATAAGATTAGCAAAAAACCGCTGTTAAAAGAAGTTGCAAGAATTTTTTAGGCACTCTAATAGAACGGTGATACTTTCCCTGACATAGTACAAGACTGGTGGTGCAGATAGTGACCAGACATGGATGGAAGCAGGGGCTAGACATCTGACATAGGGATTACACTGGTGTCAGGGACACTGTACTTATGAAATCTGCCCAAATACAGATAAGTTACAAACCTCTGAAAAATCTAACTTTGCACACACTTAATGGAGACTTGTTAAGAGACTGGTAGCTAAATTCTGCACCAAGCATGTGTCAGTCCCTTACAGCTCCTCCAGGTTCCTAGACTGACTGTGGGCCATAGGGCAGCTGAGCAAGTGCCATCCTGGGACTGCAGGGGCAGGGGCAGATTTTTACCATATTAGTGGATGGGTGGGGAGGGAACAGGACAGAAAGGTGGGTAGGGAGGGGTGTTGTGGCTCTGCTCATGAGAAGTGAGAGCAGGGATCCTGCTTTTCCTGTGCTAGCACTGCTACTATCCCGAGAGGTGCCCAGGTGCCCAAGTGCCGTGAAGGGGGAAACATCCTGGGCTACTAATTCTTGTTAGTTTCTCTAATCTTAGCAAGTGTTTAAACTATTGCTATCTCACCAAGTTCGGCCTCCAAACTGGCTTCAGATATAAACTTCTTAGGTTGAAGACCCTGAAAAACTTAAGAGTGACAATGCTAATGCTCAGTTAAAAAATTATATAGAGATTACATCTGTAGCAAAATCATAAAGTAATCCATTTCAAAAGCAAGTGATGAGAGAGTGGGCTGTGATCCAGTGTTAGGATGCACTTCAAATTGAAGACCACAACCTACTTGAGTCTCATTACCACATACCCTATCATATTAAACTTGATAACATGTTGTATTGTTCTGGTGATAAGTCTCCCTTTTCTTTCAGTGAAAAGAGCCATAAAATTACATTTCACTTATGTACAGGGTCAACCTATAATTGGGACCGCTGCAGTCCTGACTTGTGTACTTGTAGTATATTTTGTTTATGCAACAAAAATACAAAGTGAGAATTTTTTCCAAGGCAGTTGTTATTTTAGGTTTCTCAGTGCATTCCTTTGGGTCCTTTCCTTGATTATCTGTTTCTCCTGTGGATTTTGTAATGGTAATAACAGTTCAAGGTCTTTATCTGTAACTATGAACTTCTATTCAGGAAAAAAAGATTTTTTTCCCTAAAACTGTACCTGAAAATGTGGAGTCAATTTATAATTGAACAATACAATATGCCATCATCTTACTAATTATTTTGAACAAAAAACCTGGTTCTGTGGTTAGCATATTTTGCAATTATATTTTAACCAAAACGTTCTTTTTAGGATCTTTTATCAGTCCTGCGTTCTCAAGTTCCTCACTCTTTTATCTTGCTTATTTCTCAAAGGCCCCCAATATCAGTTTTATATATCCACAGCTCTGCAACTTTCTATTTTGTTTTTCGTACATATTTTTCTTCACATAGACTTGTCTAATTCATAATAATCTTGCCTTTTCAGATTTATTGCATTTTCAGGCCCAATCTCTTATTTAACCTGTCTCCTTAGCTTCATTAAAATTCATATTTTATAAGCAACTGATTGACTTTCTCTTAGCAGGCATGCAGAGGGCAACAACAAGCATGCAGAGGGCTCAGTCAAAGGGGACTCAGGACAAAGAATGTGAATGCCGACTTCTTATCCCACAGTCATGACGATCCAGACCTGGGAACGGTGGAGGGAAATCTAGGACTCACTCAACGGACAAAAGTCATAAAAAGCAATGGGAAGGCCACCCTGGCGATCAATCTAAAGGGAAGGGTGTGTAGCAGGGACTGGGGAGCAGCCCCTGCTAGACCGCCGCAGGAGGGGTCAGATCAGGGAAAATGCACCCGGTGGGGCTTAGACGAGTGGTGCCATCCCAGCCTGCTGGCCACAAGCCCCAAAGGAAAAAAAACTTACCCAGCCAGGTCCGGCACTATGCTGCCTGGCACGCTGAGGGAAACCACCGGGAGGCTTGGAACTCACCCAGCAGAGGCAGAGCGAGTGGTGCTGCCCTGGTGCTCTGAGGGAACTCCAAGGGAGGGAACTTGCCCGGCAGGGGCCAGGGAAACCAGGCCGCTGGGGAAACACAGGAGGGGGGAACTCACCTGGCAGGGTCCCAGACAGGCGGCGCTTCCCCAGCGTGCCGAGAGAAGCTCCAGGGAAAAGAGCAGGGGCCACACACCTGGCCCAGGAAGCACGTGCCCTGAAGCCCTATGCTGACTGTCCTACAGGGAAAGCCCAGGAAGTTTAAAGGGAGAAGGCCAAGCAGGGCTTGGCGTTCAGCATGGAAGAAAAAGGGGACGCTGCAGCCAGACCAGGAGGATGATTCTACCACGGCCAAGACCCAGCTAGCTGAACCCTCGGGGGATGCCAGGAAGACTGCAACCCTGAGTGAAGCACCAGGCTGACCTACCACCCAGATAAGTGAAGCCGGATGGCAGGGTGCTTACAGGTGGCCCACTGGCCAGGGAGACAGGGACACTGGGAGAAGTACCCCAGGGAGAGAGTATTAAACCCTCAGGAAAGAGGGCAAGAGGGGATACCGAAGGCAGTGAGCCTTGGAGGGTCCTGGATAGACCCAGATAGAAAAGGGATTTGCCCGGAGAAACTGAGTAAAAAAGTCCACTGGCTCAGAGTAGCTGCAGACAGTGGACCTATAGCACAGTGCAGACTCAGAAGTTTTTCTTCTGTGGTGTTATATAGTAATCCTGAGCTAGGGAAGTATAGCAGGGGAGAACCTGATCCCCTGTACACCTGAGTTCTAATTAATCAAGCCCTAGAGTCAACACCTGAGACCTAGTCGCATCTGAACATGAACCCTGGGACTGGCAGGTGGAGACTCCATCTCCCCAGGACCCACTGATCCCAGAGAGAAGGAATACTACTGCAAGAAGAGTTGAGGAAGCAGACATTTGAGGAAGAGTGACTTGCCTAGAGGGCATGGCCACAACCTCTCAACTAGGTTGGAGAGGATCCAAGAACCAGCAACTCGCACTCAGTACCGGGAAGAGATGACTTGTTACCCAAGAGGAAAGGGGCAGGGTGTAGGGATGGTGGAGCCCTGCGGAAGACCAACCTCGCCCATATGATCATCACTGGAGATACCATCTAAACTCCCAAGAACTAATCTAACATCAAAGACGTGGCAGGCGAGAGGGAGAGAGGACAAGACAGAAGTCCCTGTGATTCCAACGGGACAAAGAATAGCAGGTAAGTCCGCCCACTCTGTGACAGGGTAATCTTCCAGGCTCGGTGTTAGCACTGGCCTACCTCCTGTCTATGGGCATGCCGCCTGCCTAGCTCATCTGCCACGCCTTGTTGGTAAATAATAAAGATGGTACTTAGACAGGAGGCTACCCATTTTGAACCCCTGATGTCTAGGGGTAATATCCGCAGCTCCAAACCTTACCTACACTGCGGCCCATGCCTCACAGATAGCATCCATGGTTATAAATGCTCCGGCCAGGAGCCGGGTCAAGCTCTGCCCCATGTTGGGCCTCTTCCACTCACTCAGTCATACTACCCCCTCTCACCAGGCCTCTCTCCACCCCCTCTCACAGGGCATCTTTCATTCCACCCCTCTTCTAGGCCTCTTCTACTCTGCCCTGTTCCCCAGGAAAGGCCTTCAGGCCATCATCCTTACTCACTCACCCTGGGCAATCAACCCCACAGGCCTTTGGAACCCAGCTCATGACAGTCCAGGCCTAACCCTAGGCTGAATCTAGCCACAGGCTCTTTCCTGGGCACTTGGCTCTTTCTGACCCCTCTTGAAGCCACTCTCCACCCCTCCTTGGGGTTACCTTTATACCTCTCCTGGGCTCCATGCTGCCCCTTCTCTGGGGGTCCATATTGCCCCTTCTCCTGGGCTAAATCTATGCCCCTTCTCCAGGGCTTGGGGTCTTATACCCCCAGGGGCTCAGGTGCCTTTTATTCAGTGTACCTGACCCCATAGTTTGTATATTCTCCACTATATAGCAGGGACTGAGGTTTTGAGGTGCCCCTACCCATCTTTCCCTGGGGAGGTAACTGGCCTGGCATTTCCTGGGTTCTCCCACATCACTAGGAGCCCCACCAGGCCACGCTTCCCCAGCAGGGTGCAGTTTCAGGTCATACCCAGGACCAGGAGGCTCCAAACAATCTCCCATAGTTCCTACCCTCACCTTCAAGGTGTTCTAGGAGCAGCTCAGCCTGATGTTGCCTCCTTGGCTACTCAGCCTGCACTGCTGCCTTTCTGGCCTAAGTTTAAAAATGGCTGCTGCATTCAGCCACCTGGCAGCTCCCTACTTAAGCCTTTAAAGTGACAGGCACCAAAAACGCTCTATCACATGCTCGCACTCTGATTTAAAAAAATCCCCAATTTTCAGTTAAAAAAAAGTAGCCCTGAAACTACATTTTTCCATAAATAAAATCTATATCTATATATTAGTGGTGTTTCTTTTAAATCATGGGAAAATGTGGATTTGGGGTTACTTTTTTTTAATCATAAATTGAGGATTTTTTAAAATCAGAGAAACTAAGATGCACGCACATAAATAATATATTAAAGAACACTAAGATTGCAAATTCCAGCACTCAACAGTAGAAAATGCCAGCTACTGCTCAGCCACGATTGATTGTGCAGTCTTAATTCAATCCACATGTGACTCAGCCTTCACTTATATGGTCACATTCTCACATTTTAACAGGATCTTTCCTTCATTCAGTGCACAGGATGAACCTGCTGCGAGGATCAACTGGGGGTGTACAATGAACAAGCCTCTAAGATCCCTGATTCATTTACTGAAGAAACAAAAATTGTTGAGTGAAAGAGGGAGAGAAAGGACAGTTTCATAATTAAGTTGGTTGAATACTGCTCTAGAGAAGTGTCCAGCTTCTGCTGCAGAATTCTTGTGAGATGTTGGGCAAGTCACTCTCACAGGCACTTGCTAATGGTGTGGCTTCATTTCCTGGGTCAGACTGAGCACTCACGGCTGTAACTGAAGCCAGTGCGTTGGACACATAAACACATATCGTGCTATGTAATGCTAAAAATTCTGGACAAAAATCAGGCCCTAGATATCTTGAATTGGGCATCCAAAATTAAGGGATTCTTTTGACCTTAATTTCTTTGTGCCTTGGACCACCATTCCAAGCACCTGGCCCAGGAGAAATATCGATGGCTTATCCCATAGTGAGTTGTGAAAATCAATCTTTTTTAAGCACTTGGATACAACTGCAACAAGTACCATAAAAAATTATATGAATAATTCTGTTTCCAGGGCAATGTGTGACCTAGGCCACACATCAAACAATAAGAAATACTCAAAATATTGAGTATTTCATCATTAAATAAGAACCATCTATACCAGGGGTGGCTAGAGTTATTCACCCTGAGAGCCACATCCGATCCTCCACATGAAGTTCAAGAGCCAGAAGGAGGGGGGGAAGACTGAGCAACCCAGTGGAAGGGAAAGGGGAGGCGGGTGCTGAGCATTGAGCCACTCTGGCTTTCCCCACAGGGAGTGCGCCCTGAGTTAAGCAGCAGGTTTGTAGCCCCCGCTCTGGCAGCCGGCTCCTGAGCTGGCAGTCCCAAGAGAAGTGGGTGGGGCTTCAAGAAGTGGGGCAAGAGCTGCAAGTACCATGCCAGTGAGCCGCATATGGCTCGCGAGCTGTGGTTTGGCCACCGTGGATCTATCCCATGTACTGAATAAGGTGGGATCCTGTGGAAAAATCAGCATGTGTTAGTGCATCTAAAGATTGTATCATAACATAGACACACATGGCTGTCTTCACTTCTTAAAAAAGGTGTGTCTCAACCAGGAGAAACTCACTGTGCAGTAGCTAGCCTCCTAAGTCATCATAGGGAGGACAAGGAACTTTAGTTTTACCACAGGGCAGATGAAAAGCAGTCAATAAGCAAAGTCAGAGGTCCACCCCCATCTACGGTTAACCATGACTTGCTTGTCTTGTGGTAAAACTAAGGCACCTTGCCACAATTATGTCTGAGTAGCATGATAGCTAATGTAATGGTTAGTCCATAGCAGGCTCATGCTACTTCTAAGCAATGAAAACAAAGCATATTCTACACTTTTCTGCCTTGATGCTGCATTGACACTGCCTTGCAATGTCCTCACTCTCTGGTAACACGTCACTGAAACTCTCCTTTCTGAGCTCTAGTATTTTCCTGCCACTAGCCTTGCACTGTGGTAGTGCTAAACCAGCCCTGCACTGACTCAATTCAAAGTAAGTACAAATCTTATGCTAACCCTACTCAACAGGGTAGTGGGGGGCAATAGAGGCTCCCTTCTGTTCTTAGAGCCTTCAATGGCAAACGTTCAGTGCCAAGACAGGTGCTTGGAGCCCTGTCCCCCTCTCACACAGCATGTTGTTTTGTACTCAGTGCCAGGATTGAGTTCCACATATGGGGATACACAAGGGCCTTTGAAGATGACAGAGCCACTTTGTGACAGGGACTCCTTCTTCCTCAAAACCATCAGTGAATGCTACCTGGGGTGCCAGCCCAACTTGTGCTGCCCAGAATAACTTCTCCATGGAGCCCTCCATATCACAGCCCTTAGACACTGGAAACATATCCTTAGCCTCTCTGCTTCTGTGCATAGCCAGTTCCATGGAGCCATGATATTTGTCTCAGACAGCCCCTGAACATGTGTTTGCTCTTCTCTGCCTTAATTCCATCAGTATCTTTCTGGTGCTGAGGTACCTCCAGTTCAGTGCATTATTTCCAGAAGCCAGAGGCCTTCAGGAAAAGACTCCCTCCTGCTACCTAGATTATCAGTATATTCATGGTTTGGCCACTAATAAAAGAGGCAGGAGACAAGACCATAGCCTGACCTTTTATTGTTAACAACCCGAGCATAAGATACACACTTACCCCTCTGTCTATGTGGCTGTCCACTACAGCAAAGAACTAGTTTGTACCTGTACTTTTGCTGGAGGAGGACCAGTGTGAGAATCATAGCAGCAGGTGGTCCCTTCTGGGACTCCCTGTGTTTTTCTCATTTCCTTCTTATGAAGCCCACATGTGCAGACACAAATGCATACATGCACATGCAACTGTACCAAACAACTTCTGATTGCGTAGTTTTGATTCTTTTTGTATTTCTGGGGACCCTTGTGATCTAACCCAAACTAGTTATGGCCTTGAAACACTGAAGAGAGGATTTCTTACCCCTTTCCTCGTTGATCAAGAATGTTTCCTTATCTTTTACCTGCTTCCTTTTCCTTATTTCACAGTCACAGTAACTAAGCTTCCCCCCAATCCTTTATATTTTTCTGTAAAGATTTTAATAGCTTTGTTAAGAAAGCTTAGTTTAAGCATATAATAACAGACACCTATACATGAACTACATAGAGTTACATATTCACTTATTGTTATCAATATAACAAGGGCTACAAAATGCATGTATGTACTTAATATGCCATTTCGGCTGTTTACCAATAGCCCATTAGTAATCAAAACTTGGGTTAAGGCTTTCAGGTAAGCTGTTTTCTATGGATTTCCTTCTTTAAGATGGTTTTTATTATTTGTTTTGCTGGGTATGTTCATTATCTCAAACCCTGGGGTGAACATGCTTCTCTATCACACTGGGAAAGTTTACACAGCATTAATTTCAGATGGGTTTGGAGTCTTCAGCTTCAGCTGTACTCTTGCCTGTGCCTCATGTACAGCCTTCAGCTGTACTCATGGCTGGCAATCAGGTGTATAACTAAGGCAGGGTGAGCAGGGCACCAACCCCAGGTGTTGATTTAGAGGGAGTGCCAGAATGGTGATCCCTGGGAAGGCTTGTCTCATGGTGGCAGCAGCAGCAACAGCAGTAGCTTACACCACAGCAGACAGAACATGTGTGGTAAGTCGGGGTCTTTGAAATCCCACATTGAGCTAATGGTCAGGTAACTCTCTGGCACTTAGCACCCCACTCCTTACTCTTTGGCCTCTCTGCCCAGGGTGCCAAAATTGCTAGTTATGCCTCCTCTAATTCTCCTTGTTATGTGACAGGATAAGCCTTCTCTATCCCGAGCTTCCCCCATCCCAGAACACCCACACAACCCCTTCTCTTCCCAGATGTACTATTTAGTACGATGCTCTATTTTTATTTCTTTTCAAAGGCAGGAACTTTATTTCCAAGTCGGTTCCTGTTTGCTTTGATGTCCCCAGCCCCATCCTGGACCCTGTCTTCTGACCTATTTCATGACGCAGCATGCCCTCCAGCCAGTACTGACGGGCTCCAGAAAGGTTGATAGCCAGTGTTGGCCGGCTGTTCTCCACCATCATCACCGCTTGGGAGAGCAGGTCATCCGTCAATTGTACGACTACCTGGGGACAGATAGAAAAGGAGGTCAATGTTGTGCCACACAAATGGGCTGTGTGTTGGACACAACCCTCAGCCCTGTGCACATCTGGATAATACTGTGCACTTCTCCCGACACCCACACTGACAACAGCCTCATTTGTGCCACTCAACAGGGCTAGAGTCTCCTTCAGTTTAAGGAAAGCAACACTATTGTCCAGCCAGTCAAAGGATTGTAGCATCAGTGCCTGTCCCCACCAGGATTTTATAATGCCAGTGCACCCCCTCTCCCCCAGCCACATTAAAAGGGTCACGCAACAGGAAGAACAAGTGACTACCAACCAGGCCTGCCAGGGGATATAAGATTTGTCACAGACACCTCAAGATGAAAGAACAGCAGAAACAGATATGGAGAGAGCAGACTCTAAAGGAGAGGCCTAGGACTGCATGACCAATAGTGGAAGAGAGGCACAAAGCAGTCAATCCGAGTAGGACTGAATCACTATGACACTCACCGAGGCCAACTATAGGGAATGTCTCTGGTTATTCATCTAGTGGAATGGAATAGAGCACTCCAGAGGATCTAGCTGCTGGCCTCATACCATAAGCAGGCTCAAGAAAGGTTCTTCAAACACCATAAGAAAATAGATAATAGCCACTGGCAACTCCAAATTAAGAAGAGTGGACAGAGAATTCAGTAGCAGGGACAAAAACAAGAATGATAGGACAATGTGCTGTCTCCTTAGAGTAAGGATCTGAGATGGTGCTGCATGACTAAATAAGATTCTGGAGCTGACAGCAAGTCTCCAGTTGTATATGACATTGCACACAACAGTACAGATTATAGGAGACTTCAGGGACCTCAGCAGAGAGCTGAAGAAAACTTGGCGGGATTGTCTCAGTGATCATTCCAGTCCCTTTTGACTTCACAGCATTTACCAATGTGATAAGGTGGTGCTCACTGTCCCCTTCAAGCAAAAGATGACAGAAAATGCTTGAGGTGAACCACAGCCTGCACAACTGGCAGGGCACACGGCTGTGGAACATGGGCCCACATTTTAGCGGAGAAGAGCTGTACAAGGCATGGCATACATCCCTGAGTTGGGCAGGCTAATTGCAACTGGTGACTAACTGGGGCACCTAGGTCATACCAGTGCAAAGGGTGAGTGAGGGCAAAGGAGTCAAACACAGTACAAACTTAAGTATACCAAACAGACTCAAGGAGCTGTGACTAAATTAAATCATTGGGGCAAAGAATGTGAAAAAAAATTAATTTGTTCAGTGGAGCCTGGATAATAAACAAAAGGAACTGGACATTTTCATGGATGAGAGGAAAACTGATATTATTGCAATTACTTGAAAAATTCTGGGGTAATTTGAATGCCTGGAATGTTACAATAACTGGTTACAGATGGTTCAGGAGGGGCAGGGGGGGGTGAAAGAGATGTGTTTGGGCCAGTCTATATTAAAGACACTATTTCCTGTTTTAGAGTTACTGATAACCTGGAACATGGAGACTTGAATATAGGGATCAGTGTGCTATCTAACAGGCCCAGGAGACACTAATAGAATCTGAGGATAGGGTGAGATGCACCTTACACACAGTTCTGTAATGCGTGGAAGAAGTGTGTTATGGCAAACTTCAGTTTGGGAGTCACACTGGAGATTTCATACAACCAGCAGTAAAACACCATTGGAGTTTCTAAAAAACAGAGATGATAATATTCCAGTTTAAAAGGTCTCATACCCAACATGAGGTAACTATGTTGGACAAATACAGATGAGCTGATCATTGGAGTACAGGTTAATGATTGTCCAGGAGCCATAGATCATGATCTGATTAGTTGTTAATGAGGCATCATTGCTGAATAGAAATATTTCTAGTGGGGTTTTGTAGGGACTTTTCTAAGTCCAACGCTTTTCAACATTTTCACCAATGCTCTGCAAATAAATATAAAATCTACATTGATAAAATTAAGTTGACATAAAATTAGCCAATGGAAAATAATTACAAGGCTAGAAGAATCTTATAGAGAAATCATTCAAACACAATACTCTGGATTCATTTAAGAGTCAATTGGACATTTATCTTGCTGGGATCCTGTAACCCCAGACTTCCAGCCCTAATGTCTATGAAATATGAAATATGAAATAAAATTAATTTTAATACAGCCACAGAAAATGTCTCATATCTATGAAAAGAAAATGAAACCCATCCCTGCAGAAGTGTATGGGGCTGTACCCTGGAAAGTAGTGACTAAAAAGCATTTAGGGGTAAAAGCAGGCAGATCACTCAAGCTGGGGGAGGGCTACTGCAATCCCTGGTGTCAGCTGGGGAGTAGTGAGTGAGATAGCTGTTTTACCTTTGTATTTAGCACTGCACTGACATTGGAATACTGCACACAATCCTAATCTCACCATGTTAAAAAAGGATGCAAAAACACTGGAAACAGTTCAGAAATTATTCTAATTGAAGACTGGAAACATTGCCTAACACTGAGAGACTTGAAGTGCTCAATCTGTTCAATTTTTCAAAGAAGATGGAGAGATAACAATATTATGGATAGTAAGTATCTTTAAAGTACCATCTATTAGTGGGCTTTTTTAATCTTGCAGAGAAAGGCATAAGAAGAACTAATGGGTGAAAGCTAAGGCCAGACAATTAAAATGGGAAATGTGGCATAAATTTTTAATGAGTGTGATTAATCACTGGAACAAACTCCAGTCTCCATTTCTCTAGCTGTTCAGATCCAGACTGGATGATTTCACATAAGGCAGGTTAGCCAGCTGCATAATTGGACTCAAAGGCAGTGTAACCTGGCTTCCAGGGCCTGCTCTACCCAGGAAATCTGAATAGCAGATATAAGGATCCCCTGTAGCTTTAAACTCTATGACTGTACACAGTTCAATCAAGAGAAACTCCAGTTGAGTATGCCATTAAAAAGTACAAGAGCAGACAGAAAAAGCATTGGAAAAAGCAGATGGGGAGAGGCTCTAGAAACGAAGACAAGACAGTGCCAGTTTCCCAGCAGAGGACCACAGCAAGCAAGATGACAAATAGACCATATGAAAAGAAATTGAGACTGTGAGCAGATCTCATGCTAGTTCAAGTAGGTTGGTGCTACACAGCTGGGCAGGAAGATAGTACCAGGATTACTCACTGTGGAGATGTCCTACTCAGCTTCCACTTCTATCTCTGCTCTGGTTCTTGCACTGAGCTACAGCTGATAAATGTTCTGGATCTTTGTATTCAAGGGATGTAATAGGGATGGGAGAAAAGAACGTTTTGGATCCTGGGGATGATGACACTGGGGTTGGAATGAGGCTTTGTTAGGGGACCCCAGTAGAAGTGTTTGCTGTACATGGAAGACCCAGACCAGCCTCAAACCAACATCACCTTCTACCCCTAACTGTCCATTCTTCTTCCTCACTGCAGTTTGTTCTGTGCTGTAAGCTCTTTGGGGCTCTGCCCCTTGTAAGCAGCTGTGAATTGCCAGGATAGTGTATTACTACAGGGTAGTTCTCCTCTCCCCTGCAGGTGGTAGTCAGTTTGCCCTTTTCCCTAAGCTGTAACATTTCTATCCCTGCCAGGGGCTGCTCAACTCGTTCAGAAATGTTAGAAGAGACCCAGTATATCTTCTCCACCTGCTCCTCCAGAAGTATTTGTCCCCCTTTGCATGTCATTTCCCCACTCTATCTAAGGACTTATCAGGCTTCTGCTTGCTTGCAGATGAACCTCAACCACTTCTTCATACAGCCCTTCTCCCACACTGGCCTCTGCCCTCCCCCACATTCTTGACTTCCTTTCCTCAAACTTCCTCAATCATTCAGAAGAAATACAATTCCCACAGGCACAGCTAGAACCTAGGAGAATGGGACCACGCTCCCTGGGCCAGTCCAGACCTGGAATCTGTATGGCTCTTTTTCTGCCCATTCCCTATGGTTACTTGTTCCCTCCACATAATCCTGTCTCTCTTATTCAATTCAAACTGTAAATTCAGGACACAGCTCTATTTGCTATACATGCTACCAGAAACAGTTAAGGTACATCATAGAGGATGGGACAGTCAAAAGGTTCAGCATCAATCTACCTGCTCCACTTCAGGTCAGAGGGCAATGACTTCAATGGAAGCAGAGACCGAACCCCTTGAAAATCCCCATCAAGATTGTTACTTTGTCAATAATTGCAAGATGTTGTAAGAACTGCTCATCCGTGTTCTTCTGCACTGTGTTTCTGAGAATGGTAGAAAAAGAAGGGAAACCCTATGGAGATCTAAATACTTATTTCCTAGTGCCTTTCCCATGACTGAGCAAAGCTCTCTGCCAATACCTTCCCTGTGAGGCACCTTTTCAAAGTGTCCTGAATTCCCTCAGATGTGAACTGCAGCTCATTTCTACTACAAATTCATGGGCAGAAAATCTCATTAAATGTTATTTTTCCTGAGAGGTTATATTGTGCAATAACTGGTGACCACCAAGGATCTGGGTTTTCCATTTCCCACGGAAAAAAAACAGAGGAAAAACACAGATTTCCTTTATAACTGTGAAAAACACGGATTTGTCATTTTAGCAGAGAAACGCACAGATTTTCCACTTTTGCAAAGAGCTCTCTGCAGCCTGGCAGAGTTCCAGCCTGCAAGTGGCTCAGGGGAGCAGGAGGAGGGCTGTCAGGTAGGGGGCACTAGGGCTGTGCGATAATTTCACCAGGTGTTTTGTTTCAGAGCTGTTTCAATGTGTTTTGAGCTCGAAACAGTGAAATTGAAATGAATCAAAAGGTTTTGAAATGGCTTTGAAATGAAGCAAGGGCGCTCAAGACGTTTCAAAAGTTTTAAGTTTTGAGTTTCGAAGCCCCCTTATTTGTCTTCAGCGCCAGTCCCAGGCAGCAGCAGGAGCAGCAGCAGCTGCCTCTTCTCATCCAGCGCGCAGATCCAGGGGCTCACACCCCTGGGAGGGCTGCAGGGCTATGAAGGACTCCTCCTGAGGGTGCAGGGCCCCCAGATCTGCTTGCTGGATGAGAGGAAGCTGC